AAATTAAAATATAAGAAAAATATAAGACTTACCCCTCCATCGAAATAGCCATTGTCTTCGACCACTAATAATACGCCCCACCAAGACCGATCAAGCAACAAATAGATATCATCGTTGAGCTTGCATATGTCAGTGAAACACCCCTGGCTCCGCTCATGTAGATAAAAATCAACTACGGTCTTAGCCCAAAGGGTGCTATCCAGAATTGTGTCAGTAGTTGTCTCCTCTCCACTTCAGATACCGGTATGGTACTGGTCGGTAACTCATACGAGAGCCAACTTGAATCCATCATGTCCGGCACGTCAGAGGGTTTCTCAAGAATCCTACATATGACGCCATGTGAATCGGGCTCTTGAATGGTGGGAGGGACCTCTTCAACGATGATAGTGGCCTCTTGAACGGTGGGAGGGGACTCTCGAGGAATGATAGGGGCCTCTTCAACGATAGGAGTGGACTCTTGAGGGATGACAGGCGAGTCGGGCTTCTTCTTGCGGTGTCTTCACACTATTAGGGTGTACGGAGACTTAATAGCACATGCGTCTGATACGTGAACTCTGTCGTGCAATAAAAACCCGACGTAAAGCATCCACCTTATCGGTCCGCTAAATAATTAAATACAAATATCAGTAAATAAACAGACATGATATTTAAACAGTGAAAACAAAGACAAATATGTTTCAAATTTGCATTGAATTCACCCAAGTCATTATTCTATCATAGTTCAAATTTGCAGAAGAAGAATAGTTTCAATTGGCAGCAAACGAACAAATTTACTTTCAACCAAAAGACAAAACAAAGACAAATACTAACTTCACAGTGTTAAAGAATACACAGTTTAGCAGAATTGGCAGCAACCGAACAAATTTACTTTCAACCAAAAGACAAATCAAAGACAAATACTAACTTCACAGTGATAAAGAACACACAGTTTAGCAGAATTGGCAGCAACCGAATAAATTTACTAAGCAATCTAAGTGAAATGGTTAATCTAAGTGAAATTACGAGTAAATTTATCATCAGGTTAAATATGGAAAATCTTAAACTTACCTCATTGCGTAGAGTATGAACCTCATTCTGCAACGATACTACCATCTCACGTAGAGTGGCAACCTCACCACGTAAAGTAGACACCTTCACACGCCATGCACCATCGTTATCGCGTAGAGTACCGATCTCCTCACGCAAGGCATGGACCTCATCACGTAACTCCCTTGACTCATCCCGTGGAGGTAGAGAACAGGGAGATAGAAGTCGTGGCATCTTTGTCGGTCGCCTATCATGAGGTGATGGTGGAGAAGAGCTCGATGATGTGACGGGATAGGTGATGGCTCTCGTTGTAGAGGTGTATAGTCGGGTCGATTAGGTGATGGCTCTGGGTGAGGTGATGGCTCTCGAAGTGGAGGAAGTGGAGGCTGCTCATCATTCGTGCCATCAAAAAAATGCTGACTAGCTTGCCACCAATCAGTGGCAAGCTCAGCCTCCGTGGGTGTCAGTCTCATTAATGGAGTGTTGGCCTCCTAAAAATATAAAAACTCAAACAAAGTTAAACGTCTACTATTAATAACTTGTTTATATATGATAGTATTTGTGTTAACTTACATTATTTATTGTCGCATATGGTATTAAGTCTTCCCAATCCAACAGACGTTTCCTCTTCCAGGAAATAGCCCTAGGAATATCATTTGAGGTTTTTAATGCATATGCCCTCATGCTGGGGAAAGCCTCGAATATCCAAATCTACAAACAATATAATAACAAACATTAGTAATTGTTAAATAATTAATTATAATTTTGAAAACATTATATAGAAATTCTTACGTTAAAGGCCCAAACAAAGCTTTGACAAAGTGTATTTATACCCATCGCCCCGCAAACTTTTGCGGTCATCAAAGGCAGACGACAACTTAGTCAAGGTAGCTTTCCATATATACGAACCCCACGGAAACAGATTTCATGCATTTAGGTCCTCTACCAATAATATTAGCTCCTGAGGAATAGGTTGTCTAGCCTCTCTGCCTAAAAAGCCAGCATACAAAAGTAGTAGAAGGCATACTCGGACAACATCGACGTCATTCATCCGAGTAAAACCATCTTTTTTATTAAACAATTTCTTCATGTCGTCGACGTGTAAGTTCGGCTTCTCTATTGACTCATCGGGAAAAAACCTGGATAACCATGATGGGCGGGTGATATTACGAGTGTACCGACCTACATCATCGTGTCTGAATCGTAGACCAGTGATTAAGCAGAACTCCTTCCGCCCAAAACAAGTATACGCCGGTGGAAAATAAAACCATATCTCTTCCTCACCACGTTGTATACTGTCGGGTAGATCGCTAGTCATGGTCTGAAGCCACAAATGGGTCAAATTAGCATCTCCACCCGGATGTTGTACTCTCAGCCATGGCCCGAAGCAGGTTTCCTCAAACAATTTTCTTTGTGCAGGTGAAAGCTTCGAAGCAATTGTAGTGGCTAGGCTAACTTTATTCCTTAATGTTAATGAAGCCGAAAAAAATTTCTACAAAAACAATAAACATACCAAGTTAGATATACCAAAAACTACACTGTGAAGATATACCAAAAACAATAAACATATATAGTAGTTTATTCTTGAAACTAAAATTTGCAACACTGTTTTGTCTTTTGGTTGAAATGAAAATCGCAATGCGATTTTGGTTTCGCGTTGCGATTTTCAGTTCGCGTTGCGATTATCTCGTTGCGATTTTCATTTCGCGTTGCGATTTTCATTCTCTCGTTGCGATAGTCATTTCCGCGTTGCGATTTTCATTCTCGAAACTATTCTTCTTCTGCATTACTTCAACCAAAAGTCAAAACAAAGACAAATACTAACTTCACAAGGTTAAATACTAAACAGTTTAGCAGTATTGGCAGCAATCGAATGAATTTAATAAGAAATCTAAGTGAAATGGTTAATCTATTATTGAAATTACCAGTAAACTTATCATTAATTTCAATATGAAAAACCTAAAATAATGCAAAAATTTCAAAATAAAAATAATTAAAAAAACTAACCCTCGGAGGTTGATTTTCCGTTTCTGAATGATTGTGAGGGATTTCTGACCGTGAATGGTTGTGAGGGATTTCGCCGGTGATGGGGACGGAAATCTTCGGAGATGGGGACAGATTTCGCCGTAGAGAGTGAGAGATGGAGATGGGACTGAGTGTTGTGATTTTAGGTTTGAGGTTATGAGTTGCGATTACTGTGGACGGTTCAGTTTCTGATATATTAAGAAAAAATTCGTGTTTGGAATTTGAAAAAAAAATACGCGTTAATACGAATGGCGCTATGTAAATCGCATTGCGATAGTCAGATTCGCATTGCGATTTACGTATTTGCATTGCGATTTTCCTAATTCGCATTGCGATTTACTTAATCGCGTTGCGATTTACGTATTCGCATTGCGAATTATGAAAATCACAACGCGAATACGTAAATCGCATTGCGATTTTGTATTATCGCGTTGCGATAGTCAGTATCGCATTGCGATAGTAATAATCGCGTTGCAAATCTGGAAACTGATTTGTGATAATGGAGATCGCGTTGCGAATTAGCGATCGCATTGCGATTTTGTTGGTCATTTTGGCAAATCCAGAAAAAGTTGGTTAAAATCGTATATTATATGGGATTTTTGGTCACTGAGGTTATTTTCTCTAAAAAAATATCCTATTTTATTGTGTATTAAATTGAAACAAATTTTTACGGGTTTTTAAATGACAAACATTATTATTAAAGTGATGTGACATCCATATCTCGTGTACGGAAGGGTATACGGAGATGGGTGTTACATGAAGAGTTAAGCTCACCTCTTGATTTTTGGTCTTGAGCTTTAGTTTAAAAACCAATTTTCTCGCCGTTTTCTCAGTAGCCAAACATGCTACAACTATTTGCGTCTTTTATGTATTATCATTTTGCTCTTCAAAAAAATAAAAAGAAATCTTCCCTTCTACCCCTTCTTTTTGGCACGTGCTGGTTTATTGTTTTTTTTCCTTGCATCATTGCATGCATTTACGTTTGTCAAGCAGAAAATACTTTAAATGCAACTCTATAATTTTCTATGAAACAATATGTTTGATATTTTGTATGGTAATTACAATTTTATATATAGTTGTTTTCTTCGCTCAATAATTTCATAGGAGTTTTTTTTAATTTGAAAAAGGTGATGTTTCCCATACTTTGATTCACATTGTTTTATTTGATCTTATCCCCTAATTTTCTAATTTCATAAGAATCTATTTAAAACTCTGTTTATGTCCCATTACCAAATATGCTTTTAGCTTCTTTACATCTTCAAATAATAATTTATGTTATCTTTGAATCTAGCAGGCTGTCAAGTATTGACTGTGTTAATTCCGATGTCTCTGTCACTGCTTGGTGTGGAGGAGAAAGAAGAAGAAAAGTGAAGAGAAAGAAAGAAGAAAATTAAAGAGAAAGAAAAAAAGAAGAAAATAAGAAAAATGAAAAAAAAGAAGAGCATGTCAAAATGGTCCAGCAGTGGTGGTCAACAATTTAATTCAGTAGATAATATTGCAGCTATGTTTTTCATCACGCTTATTAACGGATGTTAACTTCAAATGATCATTTTATAACAAACAATATCGTTAGTGATTGCTTTGTGATTTTTTAAACATCAACAGTAAAAACAAACACTTGTCCTAATATTAGTGATCATTATCGTAGTTTACTCTTAAAAAAATGCTAAACACATTAATTTTTTAATAAATTTAATTTTAAAAAATAAAATCTAAATACATATATTTTAGTTAAACCTATAGATTAAGATTTTGAAAGGATGGTTGGGACGGAGATGTAGGCGTCATGTCGGTGGGAAATAAAAGAAAAGAAAGAAAAAAACGTAATTTTTTAATTTTAATTTTAAAATGGAATAATATTTTATAATCCAAATCTGGAACATCTCTCAGAAGATTTCATTCAGAGGGAGAGGGATAGGGAGAGGGAGAGGGAGACAGGGAGAACAATCCCTGATTCAAACACAAGTCTAATATATTGAAGAAAGAATAAAACACAGAAACCAACAGCACCCCTTTTGACTTAATTTTCTTTTGAAAGAATCAAGTTTCTCTTTAGCTGATTCAGTTTCTTCTCGAAAATTGCTCCCCCTTTCCTTTTTTTTTGTGTTACTTTGATTGATTAGAGGAATTGTCTCCAGATTACAGAGAAGTCGAAGTTTTACGAAGATAAGATTTCATTGACTAGAACAGGGAAAGTGAGTTGACTCACTGGGGAACCCGCTGCTGCTTAAGGTAACGTTATTATTTTGTTTCACTTATTTCGTTTGGTTGTTTGGTTGCTGGGGAAGTTACGCTAAAGGAAAAAAAAGTGTTTCGAAAATAGTGTTGAATTCAATTAAATGATTATTTTGTTTCGGTAGATTGGAATGGAAAATTAAGCTTAGTGAAACGTTGTAGTTTTAACTGTGATCAATAGTTTCGTTATCGGTTTTAGATTCGTAGTGGAAGAATATAATTGAATGCAACGTATGAGATCCGAATCGTTATCTTTAGCTTCATTTTTTTATGGATATCTGAAATTGAATATTGTAATCCAACTTGCTATTGTTGCAAGTCAATTGGGGCTTTGCTTTTAGCAGCATTTTAGAAAAAATAAGGATTTTTATTTAACATTGGTTCAGTGGGAAGTTACTTGGATGAAGCTTGTTTGCGAAACTGAACGGTTCACATTGAACATAGTAAAAGTTTCCTGAACTTTAGACCCTCAATCGGTTTGTTAGTGTTGGAGGAGATTCATCAAGGTTTTGGGATGGGGTGTGGGTGTTCAAAACTGTCTGCATGTTGTTGGAGCTTGGATCAGAATGGATCAATTCCTGAAGCTGATAATGTTGGTAAGTGGGAATAGTCAATAGTTATGGTTATTCGTTATGCTAATAGACACTGGTTTTAATACTAAATATGCTGTTTTATAGAAAATGATGACAAGGGTGAAGTTGATGATTTGCCTGCATTCCGTGAATATTCAATTGAAACACTCAAGATGGCTACATCTGGATTTGCCATGGAGAATATAGTTTCAGAACATGGTGAGAAGGCTCCTAATGTAGTTTATAGGGGCAAGTTGGAAAATCAAAGGTGTATTGCCGTTAAACGATTTAATAGGTCTGCATTGCCTGATGCCCGACAATTCTTGGTAAGCAAATGCTAAGCGTATAGCAAGTAGCTTCTTTCAAGATTTCCTGTAATTCATCCCTTAGTTGCTCATACGTGAAAGATGCAAGAACAGAGGAAGAGGAGAAGTTTCTCTATTTGCATTAGATATTGAACTCATGAAATTAAGTTTTTCAGGGTTATTGTCCTCTTGGAGAGAATTTTCTATTTTAGTTAAGTTTCCGATATGTTCTATATGCATGCATATGCCTAATGTCTCTTAATTATAATTGTAACTTTCAAGAACACTTGTTCTAACTAGATTTTGTCTCTTCCCGCTGTTATTAAATTTATTGTGGCAAAATGGCTGCAATTCTAGGTTTGCATTATAAAGCTTCTACCTTCTGACTTTAGCTACTATAACTTTAGGAAGAAGCAAAAGCTGTTGGTCAGCTCCAGAACCACAGGTTGGCGAATTTACTTGGCTGCTGCTGTGAAGGTGATGAGAGGTTACTTGTTGCTGAATTTATGCCCAATGACACGTTGGCAAAGCACCTATTCCATTGTAAGTTCGTGCTTGGTTCCCTTGCTTCAGCTTTAGCATTTAGTTTATATGTTTAGCCCCCCCCCCAATTTGAACAGCTGCCATATATGGTTCTGTGAGTTATGTTGCATTTAGACGTAACTATTAGTGTCCTGCTTTAACATTAACTCTAGAATCCTACTTTCTAGATAAGATAACTATTAGTGTCCCACTTTAACACTAGAATCCTACTTTATTTTCAGTTTGGGTAGATCTTGTACCCAAATCAAGTGTTTAGGGGTTCATCCCAAGAGTTGTTTTGTGGTTGATTTGGAAAATGAGAAATGATATTGTTTTTAATAAAGGGAAATTGGATTGTGTTTTGTTATCTTTTCTATCGAGGTACAGAGTGCCAGCTTGGTTTTCTTCGAAATTTCCAAATCGGACGCTCTTTTGATAGCCTTGTGGGGGACCTTGTGTTAGCTGATCGTGTGATATGCACTGCTAAGAGGCCTTTAAAGGTAGCTAGTTGGTCTCCTCCTCCTTCCGGTTTTGTTAAAGCGAATGTTGACGGCGCTATGGATAAGTGGTGGTCGAAGGGCAGCATTGGTGGGATGATTAGAGATGAGAAAGGAGTGATGCTGGGTTCGTTCTCTGAAGGTATTGGATCCAGACCTCCTATATGGCAGAGTTTATGGCAGTGTTTAAATTTATTTATGGATTTGGGAATGTCGGCAAACGAAGGCTTATTTTGGAATCTGATAGTGCGGTGGCAATGGATTGGATAAAAAATCCAGCTAGTTCCACCTTGATGTTCCTATCCTTAGTAAAACATATTGCGGAGATTGTGGTAGATAAAGGTGTCATTGTGCGGCATGTGGAGAGAGCAGTTAATTGGGAAGCGGATCAATTCGTCAAATTAGGGATTAGTTAAGTGCAGGGGTTTTATTTTTGTTGTTTAGTTCCTAGGGAATATTTGACAGCTTAGGTCATTGTTTAAGTTTGTTCCAGGCTGAGTCATATAAGGAAGTTGTTGTCTGTAGGGTAATTATTTATGTTTTATTGTAGTGCATTTTTGCACAGTGCTGAGAACTTCTAAGGGTTCTTGGCGGTATTGTGATCTTTTTGTACCTGGGTATTATGCAATAAAATTTCTTAGGCACTCTTTTCCTCCTTCCAATGTTCGTTAAGTCTTTGTTGCTTGACGGATATGAAGGGGGTTTTTAATGAGGCCTTCTTTATTCTAAAAAAACACTAGAATCCTACTTTGTAAATAAAATAACCTCTAGTCTATTTAGGACTCTTGACAATTGCTTGTATAAATATCCCTGCTATATTCTCACAATTTGTAACGTGATTAAAAAGATTTTATTTTTTCGAGAATCCTATTTCTACATGGTATCAGTTTAGGTTAAATCCTAGCATATTTTTTTTCCGACGATGGTCCATTCTCAATCATTCGCAGTTCTTTCGGAGGTAGGCACCTCTGTCTCCCACTCGATTTCTATTGACGCAGGTTTGATCTTCTTCACATGTCACCGCTTGTATGGAGAAAATTGTCTTCCCTGGTCCCAATCGGTACGCCTATTCATCACCGTTCGCCGACAACAACAGCTTGTTTTGTCGTCATCGACTGGTAGAAGTGAACTCAAGCAAATCTTCATTCAATTCCAGGTCCTTTTCCGTGCCCAAACACGCTGTGCTGTGCGTGTAGGTAGCCCTAACTTGGCTCAGTTATCTTCAGGTTTTGTTTCATGGATTGTTGAATCAGGCGCTATTGATCATATGACGGGCAATTTCACCCTCTTTCAGAATTTTACAAAGACAGTTTCTTCCTATAATGTTTGCACGGTTGATGGTTCACTTTCATCTATCGCGGGCAGTGGCTCAATTCGAATTAATCGCCATATTATTTTATCTAATGTTCTTTATGTTCCGAATTTGGCTTGCAACCTCCTTTCGGTTAGTAAATTGTCTGTAGATTTGGGTTGCACTTCTTAGTTTAACTATTATATTTGTGAATTTTAGGATTTGAGTTTGGAAATGGTGATTAGCAATGCTTAGCGTTGTGATGGACTCTACATCCTTGAAGCCCCTTATCCGGTTAAAAAATCCGTACCCGCTACTAATATGTCCTCATTTGTTTCCATATCTCCATCTCCTAATGGTGTGTCTGCTGAAATTGTTTTATGGCACTTTAGGTTAAGTCACTCCAGTTTTGCTTATATTGCAAAGTTGTTTCCCAAACTATTCGTTAATAAAAGCCCTACATCTTTTTCTTGTGATATTTGTCATCTTGTCAAACACATTTGCAATACATATACACCTCCTTATAAATCTTCCAAACCTTTTTCAATGATACACAACGACATTTGGGGTCCATCTCGTATAAAAGGCTTAAACGGGGTTCATTAGTTTGTTTCTTTTATCGATAACCACTCTCGTACCACATGGGCTTTTCTCATGCGTGATAAATCTGAGGTTGGGGGCATTTTTAAAAGCTTCCGTAAAATGATTGAGACGCAATTTCAGAGCTCTATTGGTATCCTTAAGTCTGATAATGGTAGTGAATATTTTTCTAACTTGTTAGAGTCTTTCTTTCATGAAAAAGGAATTGTCTATCTCACTTATTGTGTTGATACACCACAACAAAATGGGGTAGCCGAAAGTAAAAATCGTTATCTTCTTAAGGTAACCCGAGCCCTTCTTTTTCTACTCATGTTCCCAAGTACCTTTTGGATGAGGCTCTTTTAACTGCATTAATCTCATGCCCAGTAAAGTTCTTGGATTTAAATGTCATCGGGATATTCTTTCTCAATTTTTTCCTCATTTTAAACCATTCACTACTTTTGGTCCTCTTCTTGTCTTTGGTTGTACTGTTTTTGTTCATGATCATATCCACACTAACTCTAAACTTGATCCCCTAGCAATTCGATGTGTCTTTGTTGGGTACTCCTCTCTTCAAAAGGGTTATCGGTGTTACTCTCCTTCTACCAAGAAATTGTTTACTTCGATGGATGTTACCTTCCTTGAACGTAAACCTTTTTTCTCTAAGTTTGAAATCCAAGGGGAGAGTGAGTGGGAATTTTAACTCTTTCCATTTAATACTGAACTACCCATCAACCTATCTCCTACTGAACCTACTGAAACTCAGCCATCGCCTGAAACAATCACTCAAACACCACCTAATACCACTATCATACCTGATACTGAGAACCTACACCAAACCGTTAACCCAATGGAATCGACTCGAACACCAAATTCATTTGTTTCCATTCATTTACCAGACTAATCTTCTTACCTATAAAGGGCGACCTAAACACACCTCACCTGCCCCCACACTGCTGACGCATTGTCAAGAGCTAGAACCATTCCTTGGAAAGTGAAGAAGGCAATCGAGTAATTTGGATGTTTTGGTTGATAGAGTGAGTTACCGATGCTAAAAAAAATGGAGTAAGAATGTGTACAACTCATCCTATTAATAAATTTGTTGCTTATGGTAAACTAATCTTTAGTTTTAAGATATTTACAACTAAGATTGAAAGCATTCGCATTTCAGAGACCATAAGCTTTAAAAAATCCTGAATAGAAGAAGGCGTTAGAAGAACTTCCGGATCTTGAAAGCAACAAAACCTGGGTTATTGGTGATCTTCCTAAAGACAAGAAAGCAGTTGGCTGCAAATGGATCTTCACAGTCAAATACAAGGCAGATGATAGCATTGAGCGATATAAGGCCAAACTTGTGGTAAAAGGGTTCACTCAAACTCATGGAGTAGACTACCAAGAGACTTTTGCTCCAATTGCGAAACTCAACATTATAAGAGTACTTCTATCCTTAGTAGTTAATAAGGATTGGATACTTCATCAATTTGATGTCAAGAATGCATTCCTCAATTGCAATCTTGAAGAGGAGGTTTATATGTGAATTCCATCGAGGGTACGGATGCAATCAGAAAATCAGCAAATATGCAAGTTATTAAAGTCATTATATGGATTGAAACAATCTCCTAGGCCTTGGTTCGATAGATTCACGAAGGCACTTTTGTAAGACAACTATAAGCAATGTTAATCAGATCACACTCTATTTATAAAGACCGTTCTAAACAAGAAAATGACAATCTTAATTGTCTATGTTGATGACATTATCATAACAGGTGATGACTCGAAGAAATAGTGAAATTAAAGGCGGTACTACCAAGAGAATTTGAAACCAAGGACGTAGGGATCTTGAGATATTTTTTTTAGCATGGAAGTGGCGAGATTGAAAGAAGAGATTGTCATAAACCAATGAAAGTACATTCTGGACTTACTTTCTTAAATTGAGTTGACTGGTTGCAAGCCTTCGGAAACTCTCATGGAAGCAAATCTGAAGTTAAAGAAAGATGGAAATCCGGTAAATAAAGAACAATACCAAATGTTAGTAGGTAAACTCATCTATTTGTCACTTACTCGACCAAATATAGCCTTTTCTGTTAGTATTGTGAGCCAGTTCATGAATGATCCTAGAGAAGAACATTTGGAGGCAGTATATCGAATTTTGAGGTATTTAAAGATACACCTGGACATGGGTTAATTTTCAAAAAAAAATGAAGATAGAAAAATCAAGATTTTCTCAAATTCAAGTTGGGTTGAAGAATTAACATATAGGGATCAACTTCGGGTTATTGTTCGTTTGTATGGGGAAACTTGGTGACTTGGAGAAGCAATAAACAAACCATAGTTTCCAGGAGTTGTGCTGAAGCATAATATCGGGCAATAGCACTTGGAATCTGTGATGGCATTTGGTTACAAAAACTCTTAATTGAGCTAGAAGTTTGCGACAGAACCTACTTTGAACATCAGAGTGATAGTAAGTCGGCCATAAGTATTGCTAAAAATCCAGGACATCACGATAGAACCAAACATGTGGAGATCGATAGACACTTCATTGTTGAGAAGGTGAATGGCAGAACAGTAAAGCTAAACTATATCTCTTCAAAAGATCAATTAGCCTATGTCTTGACTAATGCGTTTCCAAGGATCAATTTCAACGAGATTACATCCAAGTTGGGTCTCTATAACATCTACTCCCCAGCTTGAGGGGGAGTGTGAGTTATGTTGTGTTTAGATGTAACTATTAGTGTCCTACTTTAACACTAACTCTAGAATCCTACTTTGTAGATAAGATAACTATTGTGTCCTACTTTAAATCCTACTTTGTAAATAAAATAACCTCTAGTCTATCTAGGACTCTTGACAATTGCTTGTTTAAATATCCCTGTTGTACGTGAATAAAAAAGATTTAATTTTTCCGAGAGTCCTATTTCTACAGCTTCAAATAAATCTAAAACTTTTCAATATCTGCTGAATTGTGGTTCTTTCCTATTAAGTCATTAGATTTTGATTCTTTGTTCGCTATACCTTGATCGTTATAAATAAATGCTAGTTCAAATGTACCTTAGTATTGAATTTGGGTTTTCAGGGGAAGCACAGCCGATGAAGTGGGCAATGCGACTAAGGGTTGCTTTGCATCTTGCAGAAGCTCTAGAATATTGCACCAGCAAGGGACGTGCCTTGTATCATGATCTAAATGCTTATAGAATAATTTTTGATGAAGTATGTTATTTATTTACTTTTTCATCCATGGAAATTAGTATTATTCATTAGTTATGCATGGTGATTTTCAGGAGGGGAACCCTAGACTTTCATGTTTTGGTCTGATGAAGAACAGTAGAGATGGCAAAAGTTATAGCACAAACCTGGCGTTTACTCCTCCCGAGTATTTGAGGACAGGTGCTTATCTTAACAAGCAATAAGGCTCTTACGTGCATGCTCATCTTTTTTACTAGCAGCAGCATATTTGGAATTCTGCTGGTTCTATTTATGGGCTAGGCTGTTGAATGTCCATTAGGTAAACCCAGTTAGGAATTAATCAGGTTGTTAATATATTATTTCTGCATGCGACTCTTCCCCCCCCCCTTTTATTTGGTTATGCAATATGTTATAGATTAGTGGACTACATATAGAGAATTGCTGTTTTTCTTGTTGATGCAAGTAATTTTCTTTTCTTTCGTTATCTGTTGATTTATATGACGAGCAAAATATCTAGAAGAAGGTATATGCTCTTGAGGTGATACTGCATGACATCTCTTGGTTTCCTTTCCTTACCAACAGCTCTTGAATCTTGTCAAAGCTTAAGCGAAAAGCACCTAATCAGAGGACAAGAGGAGAACCCGTTTATGTTGATACTGCAAGATAGCATTGTGATAGAATTCTGTTTAAATACTGTTTATACGGGACTGCAAATATGCTATATGCTCTTTATAGATGTACATGTTGTAACATCTGTTAATTCTTACCACTGGGGTTGTGTGGTTCTATTTACTTTGCTGGAATACAACAGTTACATCCAGTCTTATGTGCTTGTTCTGTTCACCTTTTCTGGGATGGTTTAGTATTCCAAATTATTCTAGTGTTTTGTCTCTTATGCAGGAAGAGTAACACCAGAAAGTGTTATGTATAGTTTTGGTACCCTTCTGCTTGATCTTCTCAGCGGAAAACATATTCCTCCAAGTCATGTAAGTATATCAGGGACTATTCTGATGCAATAGACTCATTGCAAAATACATGTTTCTTTATATCATCTTGAATGGAGTTTCACTAGTCCAACGTGAAGAGACATGATTGGTGATTTAGGATAGTGCTTGTCAATCTTAGGATTGTAAGTTGATATTTTTGAAGGTTTCCATTTCAAGATCCTTAGCATGTGCGACAGACAACTAGACTTTGAAAATTGGTTCTGGAGAGAATTTTCTTGAAGTAATACCACATCAAAAATTTATTTCTGGACTCTTGTTAAGATTCAGACCAAAACCTCTAAATGACACCACTTTGAGTCGGTTCCTGTCTAGATGCATATGCATTTGATGGAATAAAACTTTGTAAGTACGTTTTCTTCTGGTTATTATATTGAGTGTTTGTTCTTATGGGAGTGCCACTTTGTGCCTGCGAAACTGAATGTTATGATATAATTTTTGTTGCTCACATTTCCATTTTATGATGGCATAGTTACACTAGCTGCTGTACCCCTGAAATTTAAGTGTATTACTTCCTTCAGGCACTGGACCTTATCCGTGACAGGAACATTCAGATGCTGATAGATTCTTGTTTGGAAGGGCAATTTTCAAATGATGATGGAACTGAGTTAGTTCGTTTAGCATCACGATGTTTGCAATATGAGCCCCGTGAACGGCCAAATCCGAAGTCATTGGTTGCTGCATTAATTCCTCTTCAGAGGGACACTCAGGTTGTTTGTCTTCTCTATTTCTCATGTAATTTCATTTTATAATGTCCAAATTGACACTTTCAAAACCATTTGTACATTATGGCTTCCATTGGAAATATTCTATTCTCTAGCTTTCACTTTTCTTAAAAATAGGAATCATAGTTTCTTGACTTGCTTGTTTGGTCTAGAGAGAGAGAGACTCGTTCTATAAATGGTAAATCTTAATGTTTTTAATACTTCATTCCATACAGGCGAGATAGTGGTTGGCATGCAGACTCTCTCACTCAACTCCAAATAGATATAGATGTTATTTTATGTACAGTCATTAGGTTTTTTCTATTTTAAAGTTGAATAATACTTTTCCTTTTGTTGAGAAGTTTCCTTTTTCAATTAATTCTGAAGGTCCCTTCTCATGAATTAATGGGCATACTTCATGGAACTGATGCTGTTCCTTTATCACCATTTGGGGAAGCTTGCTTAAGAATGGATTTTACTGCCATCCATGATGCTCTAGAAAAGCTTGGATATAAAGATGATGAGGGTGCTGCTAATGAGGTCCGTTTCATCTTAAAAGTGAGCAATTTTCATATATCGTTTGGCCTTAAAACTTAACAAATCAAGGTTTGGCATAGTCGTTGTTACTTCCCCCTGGGAGGTATAAGGTCCAAGATTCAAATTCCATTTTCACCCCTTGGAACTTGTCCATATGAACAAAAAATAAAAAGAAGGCCTTCAAGCTCATTTCCAACTAGTCATTAGAAGCTATGATTTTCTTCACATTAATCTGTGGTTGTTGTGGCAAGAGTGTTGACTTTTTCTATATCATTTATGGGGATGCAATTTAAATTGCCAGTATAACCATTTCTTCTTAACTGTTTAATATAATTGAAATATTTTATTCTTTGCTTTTTTGGTTTTTTTGGGTGTCTAATGCTCAAGAATGCATCTAGATCTGGTTACTACTGTTTCTTGTTCTGCTGATTAGGCTGAAAGTCATCATTATTATCAGTGGCATAGGAGTTCAAATTAGCTTGCTACCTGCATATCTATATAATTAAGTGCATATACACCCCGCCAACACACACACATATATATATATATATATGCGTGTGTGTGTGTATACATGCATAAATGTCATGCTCTTAAGATACTACTAATATGACCAGTTTATTCGTAAATGATCTAATCTGTTACATGTCTGCTCTTGCTTTGTTCATTATAATGTGTAGGCATGGCAGACTTCTTATTTAGATTTTATACTATATCATTTTGTTAATATTGCGTTGTTTCAGATTTTTCATGTAAATGACTACTGGTTGTGTTGCTTGTTTCAGCTGTTTAGTGAGTGCTTTTCTCATTGCTGTTTTTATGGTTTGCAGCTTTCCTTCCAGATGTGGACAAACCAGATGCAGGAAACATTGACATCGAAGAAAAAGGGTGATGTTGCTTTTAGGCTTAAAGACTTTAGATCTGCCATTGAATGCTATTCCCAGGTTAGAATTAGTTCACAATTCTTCCCCAAGTGCCAAAGGCTTTTCCTATCAATGTCTTCTTGCCAATTAAAACTTCTTATTGGAGGCAGATTGAGATAGCCAGATATTTTGCTCTTGATGATGTTTATCATCATCATCATCATCATCATCACTACACTTTCTGCTGCATTGTAATCTATTATGATTTTCATCATCATCCTTTTGTAAAAAGTTGCTAGGATCTAATTAGTGCCATTAGTGTCCCAAAAAAGATAGAGGATAGTAATTTTGATACTCGTTGCCATGGTTGGACTTAAAAGGGTGTAAATTTTTTGTAAATTATGATATCCATAATGCATTTCTGAGAGCTGACAGTAACTAAATTCATTTCCCAGTTCATTGATGTTGGAACCATGGTTTCCCCAACGGTTTATGCTCGACGTTGTTTGTCTTACCTATTTGCAGTGCAAGCACAAGTAATATCTCCTATTTGGCATATTGCATCCTACTTGCAAACTGCTGCCCTACTTGCTCTAGGGAAGGAGGATGAGGCACAAGCTGCTCTTAGGGAGGCTTCTGGGCTTGAAAGTAAAAAGAATGCAACTTCTTGACAATGATCAAAGCTAAAATAAGCCGCTCTCCAATCAACCCAAAAGAGCAAAATAAGCTTCTCTATTTTCAGGTAAGATAAATAACAAGTTTATAACTTCAAAGAAACCTTGGATATAAAGAATGCATGTGATTTTGGTCCTCTCTGTGCATGTGTGGTTTGGTTCACGGTCAGCTCAAAACATTCTTTTACATGATATTGGATATGGGTTGGATTTGTTCAGTTTGGTGGGGCTATTGGGACAAATCCGTTGTTTTTGTTCTTACTGACATTTCCCAACACAATGACTTTTGAGGGGAACAATTAGGGAACAGATTATAATAGTTGTAGAGAAGGGTTTAATTGTTTAAAATTGCATGTTTAAAGGGTGAATACGAAGATGATGTCATGCTTGTAATTTATGTACAGTACTTCTGGTTATGGCCCCTCATTTGGAGAAGCAATTTGCTGTTCTTTTGTATGTTGTTAGCTTGTTAATTTTTATTACATCACATGGAAGGAAAGATTTTGTCATTGCAAACAACTTAGTTCCAATGTTCAATGATTTCCCCCAACAGATTTATATTTTAATTAGATGTCTGCGCCCACCTGAAATGCAATTTTTGTAAGCTCTATTAGTTTTTGTTCACTTCTTTTATGTTCTAAAATTATTTGATACATTTTACAGAACTTTAACGTTATTTCGAACAACAGGACAAGTAAAAATATGGAGAATCCCCAGGTAGAAGCGTTGAAGGTTCATCATTATTACAACCCATTTTTCTATATTATTTAGAAGGGCATCGGCATCGGCATTGGCCAAAGCATGGCTACAAAGCATTACATAAACCGTTCTTGAAAAGCATGCATATATATAGTTAATTTAGGGTAAAGAAGAAGACAAGAACACAATCTTTTCCTCACATTGTTTGCAGAGGAAAACATGTGGGATCTCTTCATTATTTGGAATCCTAACACACCTTGTATGCTGCCAGACTTCACAAATATCACACGATATCAACCTTTCACCATCATCCTCTTTGGCTCCACAAAGGCAATCCACAATCCCAGTCCCACTACTGTCCTCCGATCCTATCTGATCATCGTTGCTACCGATGAAAACAAGTTTCTGGCCCATTTCAACCGATCCCACCACCAAATCCGATCCCTTCACACTCATATTCGCCACGGCTTCCACAACAAAACTCCTCAGCCTCCAATACACTTCTCTGAAACACTTCTCCACCTCCTGCCTAAGCTCATCGAAGGTAGTGTTTTCGTTGAAACTTACACATTCATATGGGAGCATCGGTTTCTTCGACCCTTCATCTATCCCTTCATTGTTTCTCAATGTGACTGTACAGAAGAGCTTGAATGAGTTTCCCCGGATCGGAAGTTGTTCTTCGGTATATTCTTTCAGAAGGAATTTGGTATCGAGAATTATCCTGGTTGCCATTGGTATTGCCGAGAGAACCCCAGTGCTCATTGTTGGCTTTTGATCATTCAGGATATGCTTGTATAGATATCCAATGTCCTTCATTAGTTGAACCTTTGTAATCTTATTTCTAGGCTTTGCTTTGGAATTGTTCATAATGAGGGCCTCCGAGTTGGGAAATACAGTGGAAATATCTTCCAGACAATATTCTAGTACTTTAGTTACGGGGTTTAAGCAACGACGAACCAAGTAGTTTCCCACTATGTGATTCCCAAGCGATTTGAGAACAAAATCAAGCAGCCCCGTGTCACCAATATAAGCTCTTGCAGCATCCCTTACTTCTTGCCTTGAAACCCACCTGAACTCTCTGTTTTTTAGAGCTTCGACGATAACCCGAGTGGCTGCTTCAACTCGCTTCGGTGACCATCTGCAGTTAGTCTCGACTGTTGTGGGGTTACAAGAACTGGTTATGTTTTCTTCTGGAAGTCGAGACCTCAGCTTCAACATGAAATGTAACAGGTCCCCTAGGGTCACTATGGAATGGTCTGACAATGCTTGATACCTGGAGAAAATGACTGAAACTTCATTGTTGGAGATGCTGAGATGATGATTTAGCAAGCACAAAGGTATCCCTTGGATCGCTTCGATGGCTTTCTGATAAATCGGTTTGTTTACCCCGTAACATCCTCGTCCAAATTTGTATCCCCAGCGACCGAACCATGGATGACCATATGCTACACCATAAAGCAACCTCAACTCCATGCCCCGTTTCCTTGATGTGTCGCACAAACTCACCTTCCTAAGAGATCATGCATATAAAAATTGTTGAATTTCATGGTATTTGAATTATAAGTTGCAAGTAAAATAACCTAACCTGGCTTGCAAACCAGTGCATAAACGGTCCCAAAACTCGGTGATCTGATAGCCAGCCAACTGATCCGAACCCATCTCCATGCCATTGACACATAGTAAATGCCCAAATCCATTAGAATGAAAGACACCATGCATGATATGGCCTTTTAATTCCACTAAGTTCAGCTTACCCTTTTCTGGATTCGACTCATAGGAATTGGTTTCATCACAGTTGAAACAAGAAGCTACGGTGTCTTTAGATGGTAACAAGAAATGGTACTTCTTATTGCAGATCATATGGTTCCCCCAGCCTGTGCTATATGAAGAAACAAATTACAACTAATCTGTGAAAGAAAAAAATATTAGTGAGAAGATTATGGAACTAGACTTCACCAACATATCGACAATGCTTGCAATGAAGGTTGATCGACGACGCTCGAACCGGTTCTTCAACGACGAACAAAAGTACATTCAACGGAGGATGTCGATGGACTTCGAGCTGAAACGTCCAGCATAACACTCCATCATTGCAGAGATTCATCTCCAAATTACCATATTCAACAAGTGCTTTAACGTTATTCCTGAATGAACCATCAAACTCAACAGGGCAACCGTTCTCGCCGAAACTCTTGAACTTGAAAATCCTTTCACCCCCTCTTCTTCTCTTCCTACAACCACCACCACCATCCAAATATGATGACATCTTCAAGAAAAAAATCTATGGAGTTTTCCTCAGAAATTTCAAGCTTGTGAGAAAAAACGGAATGGGATTACATCCTTAGATATAGTGCCGCTAGGGTCACACAGATTGTGCCTGGAAATAAATTTGGAGATGATTTCAAAAGAGATTGTCAATAGACAAATAGTTATCGAAGTTTAAGATGAGGGATTTGGTGTCTCACTATGTGCATGAATTGTTTGAAAACTTGTAACTCCCCATGCAAATCTATGGCTAAAGGTATTTATGCAGTTAAAAAATGGCGCCACGCTTGAATCGTGTAGGGTATTTAGGGGTTTATATATTGCTGTTTGTTCCGACAAATTTTGTAGTCAGCTAGAACATGTTAAGTTGTTGGTTTTTATCTTTTAAGGATTCCACATAAACACCATATTTCTTCGCTAACTACCCTTTCGAATTGATTAAGAAAAGAGTTTGTAATTGGACTTAGAATTTTCCATGGACAATAATCAGAATTGTTCAGAGACAACAATAGAAGCACCCCCTGGTTCTAGAATCTCAATCTTGTTGGAAGTAGGTAGGAGGATGTTATTTTCTGACAAATGGAGTTTTGGTCATATAATATAAGTGTTGTAATTGTGGAAAGCTTACCTTGGTTTATTACAGAGTATTTGGTTGTTAGAAATGCGGTTGTGCTCAGGGACAGACTGAGGGGTTGATCGCACCTTTGGAAATTTCAAATTTCTCTTTTGTTTAGGCAATTTTTTTTAATAATTTTTATTGATGATCTAGTTTCACACTTACTAAATTTTTGTTATAAACTTTTTAAGTTCACATCTCTTGACATAAAATTATGCGTTCGTTCCAGGTTTTGCTTGTTACAAGAAAGAATATCCCATTAAATCACAAGGGACTTCCCATTACATGGATAGTACCCAACTCATGTAGCCGAAATATCAAACATGCCACATTCATTTGAATAACTTAAGTTCAACGTAGGATAAGCTTGTATATGAAATTTTCCTGCATCAATCAGATTGATTTTATGTTCTATGGAACCAAAAAAAGGAAGTATCAGAAATCAATTATCAGCCATATGAATAATCAGAAAGAACTGATTAGATAACAGGTAACGGCATGAAGAAGATCATCTGAAACATCTAAAATAGGGAGCTAAATGATATATTCTTGGTAACTACAAGCCGAAAGCCAATATTGATGATGATTATTGGCTAATCCACTGGAAATCTATTTGGAACTGAAAAAACTTAACCTATAACCGATGATAGTTGTTTCCGTTGTTTAATGTCAATGTATGAGGGAGCGTAAAGGCCATAGTTTGAATCCATGCCCCAGATCACTTCAAAACCAGCAAAAACACCTCTTCTAGGGCTGTCATGCTGTTCCGACAACAAAATAACAAGTATCAATTTAAGGTTAGAAAGCTGAAAAGCGGCTGATTTCGTCTCGGTTAATATGGAACACGTCTTGTTGTTCCCGTGCCAAAACTGCCACAATTTTTGGGGATGCAGACATATTGCTTTATGTTTGGAGTCAAATGGAAGCGTCAACAACCAAATCCTCTAGAAGGCTGTCTACTAACTCTGAACAACTACCTCGAGTCGGATATCAGTCCATGTTCCGGATTTGTGCAAATCCTTTTAAACAAGTTGCTGTAATGTTTGTTGTGGCAGGTCTGAGAGGAGGACCCAATCAACATGTCTCAACACTTCATGAATCATATTTTTTGATAACACTGCTCGTCGAGGATGCAGGTTGAGAAGTGACATCCAGGGGGAGAATCTAAAATAACGTTGATATATCTCAAAAAGGATTTCACTTATGTAGCTAAAAAGCAGCTTCCGATCAGCACGGGACTGCTTAGGCCATACGACTACTTTATCAAGCAAGGATGTGTCAAGTATTTGGTCAGACAAATGCAATCTCTCGGAGAGCTCATCCCAATTAAGACCAGAAACTTGCAGAACTTCTCTTATGCATTCAGACAAAGATCCTTGCTTTTTCTCGGAAGAAACTGCATTATTCTTTGGATCAAAATGGGATTCCAAGAGAGAAGTTGCATAGTGTTCTTCAATATCTATACAAAATGGTTTGGCCGGTAGCTCAGCTGTGCAAGATTTTGATGCTAACTCAGTACTAAAACAAAGATGTACTCTATACAGAAGTAATTTTTCTACGAGATGTGAAGATACTATTTTTTTTTTCTCCATTTTCTATTATTATTATTTATTATTATTATTATTTTATATATTATTATTATTATTATTTTATTTATTATTATTAAAATTATTATTATTACAAACAGGCCAAGTCCGGCCCAACCCAGTGACCCAAATACGGTGGCCCAGACCTAAAGGCCCAAATGTGTAATCCTAAACCCGTTTAGGGTTTGTATCTCAGCCCCAGCCGCCATCAGCTATCCACCGTTGGTTCTGGCATGATCCAACGGTCCATACGCGTCCAGATGATACCAACAGCAAACCCTAGGGTTATGATACCCTAGGGCCACGACGCCGGCCGCCTCTCTGACACCTCCATCAACCGCTGCCACGCTTCAACAAAAACATCCAGAGGAAGCAAGGAACGCCGTCCACGTTTCAACCATGGGGTGAGTCACCACCTACGGTTTGGTGACTCACCGAACTCCACCCTTGGGACCAGTCCGAAGCAAGCTCCGTGGTGGCCCTATAAAGCCACTACCGAACCTGCAAAGAAGAGGGAGGCAACCAACAGAGAGCAACAAAAAAAACAAAAACAGAAAACAAACATCGTCGAAGCACTAAACATCGTCGGAGAACAGAAAATACCGAAGGTATTTTCATAGATCTACTCCGATTAAGAGTCTTTTTGGGAAAACAAAGGTCGGAATCGACCTTGGGGAAATTAGGGCTGTATTTTAGTGTAAAATTTTTTTTTCCGGCCACCGAAGGCGGTGGCCGGCGACAGAGTTGGCGACGGTTCAAGGCTGCCGACCGGTGACCGGCTTCCCTCCGATGAGGGAAGCTAGAGAGAGGCGAGAGAGTTTTAAACTCTCTCAGTTTAGAGAGAGAGAGTGAAAGTGAGAAATGAGAGAGCCGGCCCTTCGGGCCAGCCGTTTCGGGTTTAAATAGTCCTCCCCGAACGACGTCGTTTTGGGGAGGGCTATTTGTGTAATTTTTAAACGTTGTCCGTAGTCCCTCTATTTTATATGTTTTACATTTTAGTCACTGAATCAAATTTAGGATCCTTTTAATTTGGTCTCTAAATTTTATTTATTTATATTTTAGCCCTTAACCGTAATTATAAATATTTTAGATAAAATACATATTTAGTCCTTTAGTTTTAATAATTAATATTTTAATCCCGAGTACATATTTTTAATTTATTTTAATCTGATATTCGAATTTTATATAATTTTAGTTTAGTCACTAAATTAATAAATAAGGAGAATAGCATATTTAGTCACTCAAATTTTAAATAATTAATTATAAATTAGGTATTTAATTCTATTAAGTTACAATTTAGTCACTAATTTCAATTTTTTATTTTAAATATATAGTTTTAATTTTGTTCATTGTTTAGTTATATGTTAATTTTATATGTTTAGAAATGACCATCCAACTCAGTTGGTAGAGCACAAGGTTATTAACCTTGAGGTCGTGGGATCGAGTCCCACGGAGGGCATTTCATAATTCGGAGGTCTCTTACAGAAGCTACTCTCAACCTGGTGTTGGGGGTAGCCTACTATCTTACCTCCCCCTTACCCCATACATATGGGAAAAAGGGACAACCATTTATTTATTTTAATTTTATATGTTTACTTTTTATTATTACTATTATTATTATTATTTAACCATAAGTATATATATTTATAATAAATAATATGTATTTTATTAAAATCTTAGTTAATTATTTTTAACTTATTTTAATCCTATTTTAATATTTATTTATTTTCCAATATTAGGAAAGGGCAGTCTTAAAATAACTGGATGTCCATTTTTTGATATTTTTAAATAAATAAATATCTTATTTTATAAATTATATATTAATTGTTTTAATTATTTATTTATTTTTTAATATCAAAGAAAAGAGCTGTCTTAAGGCACCTAGAAGTCATTTTCTGATATTTCTAAATAAATAAACATTTTATTTATAAATATATATAAATTAATATATATTTTCTATAATTATAATCTTAAAATAATAGGATTATAAATTAAATATATTTTGAATTTTTAATTTCTAATAATAGAGACAATTTCTAATTTAAAAAAAGTACCAATTTTGGGCGTCGTAGGGGTGCTAATCCTTCCCTAAACGTAACCGATCACGAATCCTTTTTTTTATTATTAAAAAGAACGAATTTTTGGTTAAAACGCAGATCAGTTTATCTTTTAATCGATGTTTTCTTAAAAACTCTTTTAAAGGATGATTTTTAGGTATTCGACCTACCTGACCCAAAAGGCCGATGGCGACTCCCAAATTATTTTAAAAAACCATTTATTCATATCACTTTTCCCGCCAAGTAAAAAATTCGTGCCCGGACGAAAACTGGTTACGACAGCTTGGCAACTCCACTGGGGATCTGGTCAAACTTTTAAAATCAATTATAAATTGTCTCTATTAATTATAAATTAAAATTCATATATTTAATTTATAATTCTTTCTTTTCAAAATTTTTATATACTTATTATTTTTATAGTATTTATATTTATATTCCATTTTACTTACATGTATTTTATTTCATTATTTATTTTTTCTGTCAGAGGTTTGAACATTTCTCCTCACACACAACACTTGCATTGCATAACATAAAGCTCTATAATTGAGTTTGTCCCTTTTAAGTGGTAGTGAAAGCGACGTCTTCGTGAGAATTTATTCTCCGTGTAAGACCTAGCAAGTAACTTTCGGGGTTCGTATGCTCTATGTCTTCGTGAGAATTGATTCTCTGTGTCAGGCATAGAGAAGTGTATCCCCTTGAATTGAACTCGATCCACTTTAGTCTGTGATGGACTAGGATTGAGGGTTAACAGCCCAAGGGGGCACTAACAAGGACAATTCGGGTACCTTTATTCTTAGATTTGAAACCATGCATATAATAAACCCTAGAAACTCTTCCGATCTGAAGCCATGCTGAAATTTTGTCCAAAATAG